GCAATGGTTTCGCCGTGTCAGATGTAAAAATTAAGACTACGTGGGGCGAAAAATAGAGTCATTAGAAATTGATGGAGAAAGTGGTAAAAGAAAAACGAGAAGAAAATGCAATGACTGAGAAAGAAAGGTTGAAGTGAAGAAGACCCGATGGATAGAATAGAGGTGACGAAAAATAAGGAACATCAACCCCTCAGAAGGGAAAAACTGAGAAAAAAGGAGAGAAAATTTAAATGTTTAAATATTTGGAAATAATAATAAATTTAAATAATGAGTACACAGAAGAGAATAAAGCATAAATAGACCAGGAAAAAATGCTTTCAACAAAATAAAAAATGTATTCTCTAGCAGCGACATTACAATTCTCTTGAAGATAAGACTTCTGAAATACGTTACTCAGTATTATTTTGAAGGTTCGAAACCTGGGCATTAAAGACGGATGTTGCAGACGAACTGGAAACCTTTAAGTTATAAACATACACAAAAAAATATTATAAATAAGTTTGATGGACAGGGTCACGAATGTCACCAGTTTTTAGAAGAATTGGAAAAGAAAAAGAGGTTTAAATTAATATTTAAATTGAAAAATTGCAATATCTGGGACATGTCAAAAAAAACGTCATGTCAAGCATTATAACTTGCTGCAATTTCTATTGCAGCGAAAAAATACAAATAGAAAAAGTCATGGAAGAAAACGCATCTGCTGATTAAAGAATTTGAGAGCTTGGTTTAACTGCACTTCTGCTAATATTTTTAAAGCAGCAGTGTTGTAAGTTTGAATTGCCATGATGATTGACTGATGACCTTCTTATAGGAGACAGCATATATTTGGCAATGCTCAGATTCAAAGATTGCTTGGTTATAGGATGCGTTTTAATATTTTGGATTAAACATTGATTTTATTTTCTTAAGAGATACTTATAGTTTAAAGGGTGTATAGGAATTATTTTAAGAATATAGGTAAAACATTTGATTGTTTTCTAGAAATAACACCATTTACATAATTTCTCTAGAAATTGTCTGGAACCTTTATTCAAGAACATTATTTGCTTACCTCCTTGGTTTGTTGCACACGCCCAGATCACCCAACCGACTGCCATTGCAAAAGATGGGCGAACAAGGGAACTAAAGATGGCATTTTCAAATCTAGAATATTGTTCCACTCTAAAGGCAGGATGGTTTCCTAGGGCGCATAGTAAGAGTACAATTAAACTTATTATCCACAGAGGTATTACAATTACCTAAAACAATAAACATAATAACTGTCCTTTCATGGTATTAATCGAAAAAAAAAAATTATTATAAATAAAAAAAAATTACTATGTCTATTAATATATGTCTATTAATATATATATATATATATATATATATATATATATATATATATATATATATATATATATATATATATACAGGGTGGTGAATCGTCAAACGGGAAACTCAAGGAGAAATTTTAAATTGTTGAATTCCCGCTTCCCTAATTATTTTACACCAAAAGTGATGAAAAACTATTTGTAGAGGACTCAAATATATATCGAAAACAATTGTTAAAATTATTCTACGACTTAAACGTATTCCAAAATTTTGCTAAAATATAATACATTTTTCAGGCCACCCCTAAGAGTCAGGCCAGACGTCGTGAAAAGAATGTGTATTACGTGTTGCGTTTTGTCATATTGACGTTTCTAATATTTGACAATATTTAAATCAACTATATTATATTTATCTATGATTTAAATGACCAAAATTTTGTGATTTATTATTTAAAAGGAAAATTAAGTTGATTAAAAAATGTACTCAGTTAAGGAGAAAAGAGCAATAATAAAATTGTTTTATTCATGTTTTATTATAACATGTTATAGTTTTATGTTTAGAAATTATCGTATATTATTATTAGGAATAAAGATCACAGTAACAGTATATTGGAATTCATTGAGTTGTTGTATAACTTAACATGGAATTAAATTTTAGTGTATTAGAATATCTTACGTTAAATAAAGATCCGGTAGTGACCAAAGACCTTTGGTAGTGACAGGAAAAGGTTCGCGCTATTTCCTGAATACAACATTATGCGATTTTTCGTCAACTGAGTACATTTCATTATATTGATCGATTTGTAAATAATATAATTTATTGTTCACAAAGTAATATTGTTAAGTAGTAGTAGTGTTTAGTAAAATTCATTATTTATAATTTAATCATAAAATAAAGAAAAATTGACAATTCAAATTGTCAAACATCTGACATTAATATGATAAAACACACACGTTATAATATATTCTTGTATTACGTGTGACCTAACTTTTAGGGGTGGTCTGAAAAATCTATTATATTTTTGCAAAATTTTGAAGTACATTTGATTCGTAGAACAGTTTTAACATTTGTTTTTAATTTAGAATTTAGTCCTCTACAAATAGTTTTTTATCGCTTTTGATCTAAAATAATTAGGGAAGCAGCAATTCAACAATTTAAAATTTCCCATTGAGTTACGAGCCCTATGGACCGTTTGACGATTCACCACACGGTATATATATATACATATATATATATATATATATATATATATATATATATATATATATATATATGAGAAAATAAGGATAATAAGGAGAAAATAAGGATTTGGGATGCCATCTATAATAATCAATAGTAAAGTATCGTTTATAGATGTAAGATCAGCCACTTCAGATATAAGATCAGCGGACAGGAAAAGGAGAATCAAGCAAGAAAAGAAATTTTTAATTTCGACAATCTGAAAAGATCCAAAATTAAAAAAAAACTTAAAGAAAAAATAAACAAGAACCTTACAAAACATTGGCGACGAAGTCTAGTAAGAAAAATATTATTTGAAAACAAAATATGTATAGGTAGGTAATTTACTATGTGAACAAAAATTTTTATTGACAAACAATTAATAAACATAGAAATAAACTTTACAGAAAATAAAACACATGTATATCAATTAATCTAACAACTAAAACAAGGATATTAACCAAAACCTAATCTGTAAAAGAATAAATATGGCGAAATAACCGGCAACACTTTAACTTGACACCGGCAACAAGACATTAAACAAACTTGCCAAGCATACCTATATTAAAAAACTGCTGATCGAATCTTTTTTAATGATCATGTAGAATACACAGAACATGAACTATTGGAAGACGAATAAAATAAAGGGAATGAGACAAAACTACTAACAATAAAAGAATTTAAAAGTGCAATCAAACTGCAGAACATTAATAGGGATCCTGGATGTGGTGGAATACCAGCAGAATGTTCAAGTCGAGAGAAAAGGAAATAATCAATAGAATATATGAGCTCATACATAGAATATGGAGGAAAGAGAAAATGCCAAGAGAGTGGAATAAGAGTATCATCTGAGCAATCCATAAAAAGGGCGACAAACACCTCTGTCCAAATTATAAAAGAATATCCTTGCTGTCTTTTTGATACAAAATATTTACCAGTATACATAACCATGAACTTTAACCCCTAGCAGAAAAGATCGTAAGGGAATATTAAAGAGAATTAAAAAAAAGCTCTAATATTAACCAACTACATATTTATGAAGTTTTAAGCAAAGCTGAGAACATTACATATATGTATACATATTTTCATCGACTTCAGACAAGCATATAATTCAAATGATATATTAAATAAAGTTAAAATACCGCCCAACCAGTTAGGCTCATCGAAATGACGATGGGGTCATGTTTATAAGAGATGACAGATATTCGTTGTTGCAGCTTATTATAGAGTATGATGCAAATGTATGGAATAGGTTCATGATTTCAGAAACAGACGACTTTAAAAAAAATCTTAAAGTAAGTCAATTTTACTTTTTGAATAACCACCAACTAATATATATGTGTAGGAGATTACGTCATCGGTGTCGGCGTAATGACGTAATTGACAATTTTTTTAAATACAAACCGAAGTCACGCGACAGCTCATCTTCTCGCATTCCACAAAATCCTGGAGTATATTGGTTTCAGCTACTATTGAATTGTTTAAACTACTGCTGTCAACAAGGTATATATTTTATTCCAATTTATTTCCTAAATATAGGAGGAGAAATATTATTTAGCAGTCGTTTTTTTAACAAAAATACTCATTCAACAATAGTAGTCCCAGAAATTGCCGCAATTACTGTTAAACAATCTTTTGGATCATAACGTAAGTAATGTAAATATTTAAGTCGCCGTGCCTTACGATTCGCCGCGATTCCGCTGCGAAAGTTTCGCGTCGGTTTGGGGAATCCTTTAAACTTTTTTTTAGATTGTCATCTATTTTATTTACAGCAGAATTATTATGTCAGCGGGTACATAATCACTATTTCTTTCTTTATGTACTTACAATTGAGTAGTCCACTTGCAAACACCGCTATGTGTATGAACAATTAATTTGAGTAAAGTAAAAAATACATTTAACTATTAATCCAAATAGAAAATAAATATTTTGCTTTGTGCTAATTTTAAAGAGATTAATGAAGAATCGGTACGAGTCGGATAAAAAACACGTGTCAATAACAGTTTTTTTATTTAGATTTCAAAATGGAACAAATACAGTTTTGCATGAGTAATTTTAACTAAAGTAATTTTGCAGGAGCATTTAATCAACTTATGAAACACAGTTATGAAACAACTAATTGCTAATAAATATAATAAACATGTCATGTGCTATTGTACACAAAAAAATATGAAATGTTTTTAATCTTAACATTAAACTATTAAATCTACGTCGTCTTGCATTACAGTATCTTCACTGTCAGTTTCTTCAGGAGCACTTTGGTCCCCTTGAAGGAAACGGTAATATTTGAGGCTATCAAAAGCAATCCAATCTTCACCAAAATGCTTAATAAGAAGGCTTTTTACGTCTTGTAATTTTGCTGGCTTTACAGGAACTCCAACATCCATGATGGTAGGTTCCATATTTTCGAAGAATTTGCCTCTTTTTCAAACATTATCGTAACTCAACAGCTCATATGCATAGTGTGGCTCTCATTTAATTGCAATTTTGTTATGTTTATCCTTTCTTAAAAAGAATCTCTTAGAGGCCTTGAATTGAAAATTCCATGAATCAGGTACCTTCATTACATCTTTAACGGTAGTTTTCCAATCATAGAAAATAAAATCGGCACCAAGCGTTGAAATCGTACCATATTTCTTAAAAATATCAAAGTATGCTTCGATAATTACTTCAATAGGTCGTATTTCTCTTTCTATATTTTCAAAATACTCGGCCAGGGGGTAAAAAAGAATGTACAACAACAGGGTACGTCACTGCAACTTTTTTGGTGTGTCGCGGTGCTTCTGTTTTAAGCCAATAGGCCAACATTCTCACAACTATCGTATTTTTGTTTTGTCCTCCACAGCCATCACAAAATAACCTGACATGAGAAAAATTGGCTTTTTTTTGGCTTTAGGGTTTTAAAATCCATAAGCACATTAGGCAAATTTTTAAAACAGATACAGGGATTACACAGGGATTACACTCTTCTCGCCCAGGGGCCGATTAGGGCATTTTTATAAAAGGTAGGCACAGATAGGTATGCATACAATAAGGAAAGACATAAGGAATTAACAAAGGTGGTTATAGTTGTATATTCGTTGTTCTGACGAAAGACAGCAAACAATCGTAAATTTCTTTTTTTTTTTTAAACAAGAAGGTGCAGTATATTAAATGGGCTTTCAATGTTTAATTTTAAAAGTTTACTGAAAAGCTCATTAGATTGAGCTCTATATTTTAAACAATCAAAAAGATGTGGTCAATATCACCGATTTTATTACAGGCTTCTCAAAGATCACTCTCAAGTATTTTTATTTTAAATAAATGTGCTGGATAACATGTGTGACCAAACTTCATTCTGCTGATAGTAGTTATACTTTTTCGACTGTAATCGTACTCATTGTACCAAGGTTTTCTCCTTAATTTGGTATCAAGTCTGGTGTAACGTGTTGGATTTGTGAGGCTGTACTCTTGCCATAAACAGGACCATTTCTTCATCATTCTCTGTTTTGCTATGATTATTTGTTCGTCTGTAGTTAATTCGTAATTTATTTGTTCCCCCATTACTATGCTTTCTTTGGCAATTTGATCTGCAATTTTGTGCTTTGACCCAGAAGAATTTTATATATTTATTCTGATCTTGTAATTGTTTAAGTATTACTTGGATGCTAAAAATAATATCATTAGTTGTGTTGGAGTTTGATTTTAAAATTTAAAGAACAGAAAGTGAATCAGAAAAGATTATAGCATTCTGATCCTCTTCCTGATAAAAATATTCTAGTGCTTTTAGAATTGCTATTGCCTCAGCTGTGAAAATAGATGTGTTTTTGTTTAACTTGTATTTTTTCTGTATACGTTTAGGTAAATATTGGTTCTAAAATTGCTGTTTTGTAATCGTTGAAATAATGCTGAGGCTATCTAAATGGACTATTTCATACTCTCGGATTCCAACCATGTATAAATGTAAATATATCAAAAAACCAAGTTTTTTGATATATTCTGAGGTCGAAAAGATTTTCCTTGACATATTGTTAGATTGCACGTATACAGTTGCCTACTAAAGTAAGAACCCTGATCAGGTATTTTCGGTAAAATCAAATTTTTTTGGCAGTCAGACAAAATCAAATCATCGTCAGCTTGTGTTTTTAAACTTATATAAAAGAATTTTGCCTTTAAAGTATGTACACAATATTGTGTAATCAACGTCTGTTTTTTTGACAAATCTATTTGAATTTTAATAGCCTCTTTTAATTGAATACACTTCGAACAAGCATCTATTGCTGGTGTTTTGAAACTTAAGTTGAAGAACTTATTAAATATACGGCGAAAAAATTTGTATCGCACTGGTGGATTACTCCCATCATTACTGTAATAATTATGTGTTTTTCTTACACTAAGGTCACTTCTTAAATATTGCACAGAAGATCTACCTCTTCCATAATGTGATTCTAATGATTTTAGACTTTTTATGTAAGATTTTACTGATTAAGTACGCCTAGAATACTGATTAGACCGTCATCTTCTCATATCATGTCTCTTCTCTCTCTGGACAAAGCCATTGTATTTAAGTTATTTCTACAAATTCTTTGTATTCTGTCTTTAGATATCCCCAAAATTGTAATCACTGCCTTTTGGCGTACTTTTTTCAATTTGACGCGGCGACTTGCAGTAGATGTAAGTTCATGTTGTGGTATAAAATAAGAAATGGTCTGCGTTTTATTCTGCTTAACTGCTTTTTTTGAAGCTTGAGCCGCACAATATTTGAGCAAATAGGGATCTTGAGCAATTTTATCTCCAGACGAATCAAAATATCGATGAAATTGACTGTAGTGGTAAGGAGACAGTTCCGTACACTCATAACCTTGCTTTAAATTTCCGTGTGGACATTGTGGCATTACTGGCCGCCCTTGGGCATATGCCTGTAAAAAGACGGTATATTCTACATGTGTTTAAGTTGTTATAAATGAATAAATAACATAAAAATCTATATGGTAGTAATGCTCACCGTTTCAATTTTTCACGTTCTCTTTTCCATGTAGACTTATCTATAATACTTTTACGCCCTTTCCTGTCTGGTGTAAAAGTTATTTCTTCTTCTTGACAATCCATTATATCATTTTTCCAGAAAACAGTAAATTAACAAAACTGAACACAACACGTGCGCGCATACGTAGTGAACTTTTCAGTCTGAAATAAAAGATAAATACGTTTGCTGAGGTGACAACATGTCATAGAGCGCTGCATGCAAGTTAACAGTCACATAGCAATTTTTAAAAACAGATTTCTAAATAAGATAACGACTTTTGCAACAGTATTATGTTTTTTACCTCGTCTTATTTAGAAGATAACCAGTTTTGATTGAGTATAATAATAATGAAACGTTCATTCAATAATATATAGATATAGACGTCATTAAACGATAATATTATTGTTTTAACATAGCGTGGTTCGCAAGTGGACTACTCAATTAGTTGGAGTGCGTGATCATAACAAGTGTTGTATTTTAACACATATAAATATTATAACTGATAGAATATCTCACACTCCGTTTGAATTTTGGATTAAAAATATTTTATGAAATATTATTGCACTCAAAGATAACACCAATTTCGACGCTGGACAAGAAATTTCCTTTTTAAAGAAATGGATTTTGCGCAAATAAGTTTTATACACAAATATCAATTATTTATATATAACTACAATATACAAGCAGTTGTGCAAACCGCAAGATATTAAAACTTAAAAAAAAGTTAACCCATGAAGGACGAAGTTTTCGAAAATCTTTATTTTACATAAATAATACAAATAACTCTTACGAATGGACAAAACTTACGTAGAAAAAGACAAAAATAATTATTAGATATATTAACCCTCCGTTAGTCGCTATCGGTCTCACACACCGACGACAGAATTATTCATTCTGGATTTACAAATAACTGTTATTTTTCTATCGCCACTTTCTGTACCTCTCCCTATCAACTAAACTCGTGTTAGTGTACATTCTTACCTTCCTAGGTACAGTTGTGTGAGTTTTATAGTTGTTTTCGGTGCCAGACTCCGTAGCGACTAACGGTGTTGCTATTGCTTATTGCAGAACTTGCAGAACGGGTAAATATTTATCACCTTATTATTGCATTTTATCGGTAAGATTTTGTCAATTCTTATTTATAGATGTCCTTTGAAGCCGAACAACTTTGATTCCAAAGCTTGTTGGAATTAGGGACAATGGATCCTACCGACAATGAAAATTATTTTGACGATGAGGGAAGTGAAAGCGAAATCGATCAAACTAAGGAACGTGATGGTGGAAGTGAATCGGAATAACATGTGACAGATGAGGAAGAAGAAAGTGGACGTAATATCTTAGCGGTTATTGCAAAATATAGAGTTACTAGATGGAAAAAGGCTATTCCACCGTGAAATGTTAGAACAAAACAAGAAAATTACATAGTACGTAATAAAAACTATGTTGGTATTTTGAGAACGATATCCGAAGTGGAAATTAAAACGTCAATAAACTTACTTTAACCTTTAATTGTGGCTTATTACCATTTTAATACTAATTACTTTAAAATGCAACGAGAAAATAGCTTGATAACAATATTCACAATATATTGTTATACTAGTGTTTTTCATTTTGTATCTGTTTTTTTTTCAGTAAAATATTTTCAAAAATATTTTTCAGTTATTTCTATACACAATATAAAACATTTGTATGAATTTTATATTAAAAACTATTTTTTTTAATTGTCGGTCTCTGACACCGTAGCGACTCTTGATGCTCAGTTTTTCCTAGCGACTAACGGAGGGTTAAAACCTAAAAATATTGCCTGTTGCCAAATGGCAACGCTAGGTTCCTATGGCTACATTAACCGAATGAAATAAAAGTAAAAAATATTCTATGAAATTGAGAGATAATCGGCAAAAACTTTCTATAGCTGTGTATGAAATTTAACATTACACTTTGTGCACAAACCTACTTCACATTTGGCGCATCTTGTTCTCATGATCGACCTGCATTCTTCACCTGCACACCTAATTTTCTTTTTATTTGGTACTGGTTCCAGTAAATGCCCAACTCCATCGTATCTAATATCATCAGATACTCTATGAAAGGAACGACTTGAGAGTGAACTAGACGGTCGGCCACCTTGTTTTGCAGGCACTCCGTATTTGGTCAGATAGGCTTGCACAATTTCACGCCTAAACTCTAACTGTGTCAACTTGTTGCCGAATTTTTTATGTAGCACCCACGCATTTTGTATAGTCGCATCTAGCATCCAGGTAATCAAGCTCCAATACCATTTTTTGCCCTCATTCCTATTCTAAAGCGGTTTATATTTTCGTCCATTAGGTCGGTGCCCTCCATTGCATTATTATATTTACCAATCAGGCATGGACTTTGAACCTGGATGATTTTCTTTTCAGCTTGTGAATATCTTTTCACGAGCGATTGTGGTTCCACCCCATAACATGTTGACGCTACACTTACGACGCTGTTATCCAACCATCTTACAACTAGAATACCAGTTTCTCTCTCGAGAATAGACTCTACATCACCCCTTTTGCGTTTCTGCATATTAGCTTTCGATTCTATAGGGCAGTTTTTGGGAATGCGATTTTCCCGTATTGCTCCGGTAAGGCTACAGCCACGATCCTTTATATGTTTCAAAAGGTGGAGGCTCGTAAATAAATTGTCGCGAGTTCATCGAGCATTGTTACGAATCAAGCCGCACATGGTCCAAAAACTTTATAATAATGATTATTTGCTTTGGGATCGGTTCCTTGGTACATGTTGAAGCTTACAAGATACCCACTTTTAGTGTTGAGGCACCAAACTTTGTATCCGAAACGAATCAGCTTTCCTTTTATGAACTGTTTACATGAGTGGCGTCCAAAGTATTTCACCATAGATTCGTCGTAATTTAATTCGCCTTCAGGGACGTAATATTCTTTATATTTTTTTTGTAAATAGTCAGCTAAGGGTCTGATCTTGTAATATTTGTCCCTTTCATCAATGGCTTCATTATTTGCAAGGTGGAAAAAAACGCCAAATTGTAAGGAACCGATCTCTTCGCATAGCGTTCATGACCATTGCATTACCCATATCGCCTCTCGTATCCCAGTAAAATTTTTTTCCCGGGAGCCAATTATACCCCGATAGAATCAAAATGGCAAAGAAACACCTCATTTCTTCTGCGGAAATTTTGGGGTCGGGAAAGTTGTTCTGTAGTGCATAACTCGTGCATTGGTTGAGAATGTAACTAATTATAGCCTCGTCAAAAAATAATTCGAACATCTCGACAGGTGTCAACGTATTGAATGGTTCGTAGCTATATTCTGGAAAACTAGCGGAATTGTCGACCAAATCACCCGTTATTCAATTTAGGGACTCGTATTCAATTTTCTTCACTTGAGAGGTAGTTTGTGGGATGAAACTTCTGCTGCTTTCCTGGGAAATATCCATCGCTTGAACTGCATCTTCTTCGATGTCGTCATCCTCCTTGTCTGCTTCTTCGCCATACATTTGCACCTCAACATTTGCTTCCAGCTGTTTTCTAGACAGATTGTCGATGAATCCTCCCCCATCCTCCTCGCCAGAATCTTCATCAGTGAGGTTTCCAATATTTGGGGCTCAACATAAATATTTCTAACGTTGACGTCATCTTCGTAAACCATGATCAAAGCTTCTTCTAGAGAAAAACCCCGCCTAAAAAAACAAGATGCCTGTAGATACTAGCGTTGCCATATGGCAACGCGATGAATAAAAACAAAATATTGTAAAAGATCGCTTTTTTTCAAGGGTTGTCAAATATTCACAGAGGGAAAATGACCTTTCTATTAGAGCATAATTGTTACTTTAGCCACTTAGATGTAATAGTTATTCAGAAGTAGTTGACAAATTGAGCTACTTACACAAATCTTATATCCATTTTTACAACTATCAAAAAACGGTGACTATAAAATCTCACAAACACCAACGAATTAAGTTTTTGTTAGGTGTATATCTTCAAATCACTTATTTTCTGCAGACCGGCACATTCTTGGAAACAAAACAAACTAACATAACCTCAAAATAATAAGATTCGTAAGTCAATAGTAGTGTTGCCATATGGCAACTCCAATCCTTCATGGGTTAAGCAATACATTTTACAAAATTTATTGTTGTTATAATTTAATATTTACCGAAATTGCAGTGCATGCAAGATGCTATACTGCAAACTATTATAATATTATTAACATTACCTTAGATAATGGTTTTTGAAATCGTGGCCTGGTGAGTAGATACCCCAAAAGTGTTCCCATGAACCAAGGTGCTGCTCTTGCTATTGTACCCAAATAAAAGTAGAACATAACAAAGGCTACGTCTACGCTAAAAATAGTTGATAATAAAGATAACATAAAAATAAATAAAAATGTCATAACTTAAACAAGAATAAAAAAGAAAAAGTAAAAATAGAATAGTAGAATTTTTTTGAAATTTGAGAAATTGTAGAATTTTTTTTATTTCGCAATAACTTATAAATTTATGGAAAACTTTGGACACAAAGAAATTTTTAACGCAGAAAATAAAATTAATAGTTATTTAACCAACAAGTGTATTAATAAGGGCGATTAACAATTGAGATATTTTAATAGGTGAGCGGAGGTATCGCTATCTACTGGGGTGTAAAGCTAGTTCGCGTCCGTAGTAGAACACTACACGTGCACCCTGGGTAACGCTAAATGAACTAGCACAAAAGGTGCCAGACAATCTTGAATCTCCTGGCAATTCAAATATCACAGAAAATATTTCCAGAAATGACACTTGTAAACGGACCTTATCAGGACCATTTGACCAAAGAACTCGGACCAAGCATACGAGTTTGCCATTTTAACATAGAAGGCATAAGCAGGGCAAAATGTCAAATCCTGCACAGACTTTTAAAACGAAGTTGACCTAGTAGCACTTCAGGAAACGCACACAGAACAAAGGTCAACTAAGCTCAAGAGGAAAAATCCCCGGCTATAATCTTTTGGGCGCTACCTACGATAGAGCTTACGGAGTGGCAACATATGTCCGTTCAAACATAGAAAATGCAGCATTAATCGCCACTTCTACCGAGAACAACATCCACGAGGTAACTGTGAAAATAGGCAATGCCATAATAGCTAACATATACAAACCTCCTGCTATTACCTGGTCTGTTCAAGTTCTTAATTCCTATGAACATCCAGCCATATACGTAGGGGATTTCAACAGCCACCATGAGATGTGGAAATACTCAGACACTGACAGAAATGGTACATTTCTTGTGGAATGGGCAGAGGAACATGGTGCCCACCTTCTATTCGACGCCAAAGATAGAGGCACTTTCAGATTTGCGGCCTGGAGGAGAGAATATAACCCTGATCTCTGTTTTGTTACCATTGACAACAAAGGCCAACCGCTAGCAGCATAACGAAGGGTTATGCCTGACTTTCCACATAGTCAACATCGCCCCGTCCTAATCAAGATCGGTATCAGCATTCCGATTATAAGATCGTTCTTACGCCCCAGATGGAACTTCAAGAAAGCTAACTGATCTGATTTCACCAGTAACATTGGCAAATGCCTAGGATGAATTCCACCAAAGAGCCAGAGCTACGGGAGACTAACAGGAGCAATAATCACCTTAGCAAAAGCGACAATTCCTAGAGGATACCGCAAAGAATATATCCCTGGTTGGACAGAACAGAGCGCAAAACTGTATGAAGAATATTGCAAAGATGGAAAGCAGGAGATTGCAGACGAACTACTTCACAGCATTGATGCTTCCAGGTGTGAAAAATGGACACAGACAGTAGAATACCTAGACTTTCAGAAGTCAAGTCGACAAGCTTGGTCTCTACTGCGGAAACTCGGAAGTAGCAACCCACCCGTTCGCCAAACCAACCTAGTAACTCCAGACCAAATAGCTACGCACCTACAGTGGGTAGCCAAATTATTAGGGACACTGCATATATTTTTGTATTTTCTACTTAAAATTATTTTTTTGACCAAAAAAATTGGTGTTCATATCTGTATTTTACTTGCTAATTCTTCTGGTATACCTATTAAAATTTTTGATAAGCGGCAACACTGGTAGACTGCTTATGTATGAAATAATAATAATAATTGTTATTGTTGCATCTCAGTTGGTCATCGGCTGTCACCGCAGTGAGGTTTAAAAATATTTGCAAATCGTTTTAAATTGTTTTTGGTCGGTTTTCGTGTCAGATATATTTAACAGGTAAGTAATATTTGTTATTTAGTAATTTTTGCTACATTTAATGACACGAGTTTATTTAAAAAGATTGTTTAAATTCAAAATTATTTTTTTTTGCTTGGGCAAAATTGCAGAATTGTCTCCAGGGAAAATTAGAGAAATAAAAACATTATTACTGCACTCGAGGCTTTCCCAGAGAGTTATAGCAACTACTGCAGGTGTTTCAAAGTCTGTAGTAAATCGAATAAAAATAAAAATGAATTCAAACGAGGCATTGGAACCGGGCCGTGTTGGAAAATGTGTCAGGAAAAGGATTACTACTCCTCGTACTGATCGTAAAATTAGGGATATTTGTCTCCAAAATCGTAAAAAGAGTGTGACACATCTTACTACGACGATTAATGATGAAGGAATTAATGTTTCCAGAAGGACAGTATGACGACGACTGGCCGAAGAGAATCTGCTAGGTCGCCGGCCTATAAAAAAACTACGGCTCACCGAAGCCATGAAGAGAAAGAGACTCCAATGGGCCAAACAACACCGAAGTATGACTGTTGTAGACTGGAGTCGAGTAAGTATGACTTTTTTTAACGAATGAAGTTTGTGAACAGCGAATATTATCATTTTTACAGGTATGCTTCTCCGACGAATCAACATTCCAGATTTTGGTGGATAAAAGTGCGTTTGTCCGACGACGTCCTGGGGAGCAAATCAATCCAGATTGCATTGTGGAGAGAGTTAAACATCCGGTGAGTGTCATGGTGTGGTCTGTAATCTCGGCAAAGGGTATGGGACGCTTATACATCGTGGAAGGGACAATGAGACAGGACCAGTACAAGCGAGTACTTGAAACTCGGCTACTGCCCCAGCTCAAAGAATGGTTCACTGGTGAAAAAAATTACATTTTTATGCACGATTCTGCACTGTGCCACAAAGCCAGGAGTGTAACTGCATATCTGATCAAAGAAAATATTGCAGTTCTGCCCTGGCCGGGAAACTCACCTGACATGAACCCTATAGAGATTATGTGGGAGTTAACCAAACGGGAGATCGTCAAAGATGTTATCACCACGAAGCGGCAGTTGATTGAAGCTCTTATTAGAGAATGGCATCATAACTCTAACTTAAAACACAACGCAGGATTTTGTATTCAGAGCATGCCCCGACGCGTAGAAGCTGTAATTGCAGCAAAGGGTGGCATCACTAAATATTAAAATTAGTCATATTATGTTAAAAAAAATTTTGCGAAAAAAATAAATGGTTTTACTAATAAAACTTAATGTTTTTGTGACCCTAATTTCTCAATCTCTTACACAAAAAATAAATGCAAGCCTTAAAGCCAACAAATTGCAAAAAAAAAATCAGTAAAACTAAAAAATTAAGAAATCTTTTACTGTCCCTAATAATTTGGCCACCCACTGTAGTGTCAACCTCTAGAGCACCTCAAAATCGTTTACATACAATTAAAGTTAAAAAAGACCTCAAAACTATAAAATCTAGTCTTGCAAAGTCAACAGTGTTTTTGGTATTGTGTGTGTTTTTGATACATTTATTGTGACAAGAAACCGTGACCCCAAGTCTTGAACGATATGAGTTTCTAATTTCAATAGTTCGTCCTTTTTTAACGCACCAGTCACTCCGAAGATAACTGCGACCTACAAAATGAAATGTTATGAAATACGAGTACAGCTACAAACTTGCTATTTAGTCCTTCTTCGGTAATGTTTGAAAAATATGTCAACAATACAGATTATCAATATCGTATTATTTTTCTCCCGTCACACCATGCAATAAATTAAGCGTATGTTTTTTCGTAAAACACTGCTTTTTTCAGGCAGTAAACTTAAAGATATTTTATTTGCAGTTTCTGCCACTTCTGGTAGAGTTAAATTAAACTCTTCGTCAATATCGATCTCTTGATTTTTCAAATACACAGAATTTAAACAATAAAGTAAATAATGACATACAATGTCAGATAATACTAACAGCGGCTACTTCATTTTAAATTTTTTAGTGGAAATATAAATAGGTATATGTTTGGTTGCCTACACCACAGGTCACTACCAATCACATAGCGTTTAATTAATATATGCAAGCAATGTATATTGTGTTGCCTATAATGAAATCGTTAAATAATAGAATATCATTCATTAATAGGGGTCATTAATAAATGATTTTGAGGGTGTTAAAATTGATCATAACTGGACGGTCGACGGAAAAATTCTTACTAATAACTCATTGTAAATGAAACGGTCCAGCTTTGAATATCACGTGAAAGCTATTTAATTTTAACTGCTTTTATAGGTTGCCAATTATTTTATTACAGTATTACAGTACTTTACTATGCTTATTACTACTTATTAACATGTTTTATAAGAAAACGCATCTTAAAAAATTAAGGAAAGACAAGTCAAGCGTTTATACCAATCAAAACAATATTTATCAGATGTTAGGCAAATATGATAAAATTAGTGAGATGAAAACAATTAAATAAAAAACAATTTATATTAGTGTGGCTTGGGGTACAAAATCTTTTTAAATATGTTCATTAAAAACGAACCTCTTTGATATTCGCTTTCATATAGTTTGTTTCTAAATATTAGTCATTAAACCACAAATATTGTTACGGATATTATGGAATAAAAAATGTGATTGAACTTACTTGGCATAGTACGAATTGTTGACTGTAGGTAGAATATTGTCATTATATCCTTTTACAAATGACAAGGCTATCGATGCTAGAATTGCAAAAGCCAAGCATATTACTCCTAGCTTTGTATGCTTCTTAAGCAAATAAAATATCAGGGGTGATATTATGTACAGCTGTGTGTCAACTGCTATATACCAAGTATGTGCTACACACTAAAACATTTATTAAATTACCAATTAAACAAATTTTATCAGCATTTAACCCTTAAAAGTCAAAAAACTATTATTCAAGTAACTCATAATCTATTTTATTTAGCTTAGTACTATCGGTTGTGACCACTACAATTTTCATTTAACCTTCAGGCCTCCAAACAAGTTAAATTAAAATGCTAAAACAACATTAGATATTGCACCCAAAAGGGTTCTATCAGTTTTGTTCCCAAAACATCTGATCTACTACAGTAGTGATCGTGCCGTGAATAGTGAACAGTGCAGTAGTGTCTGGGGGCTCGGGAGACTGAGACCTCGGAAGCCCTGAGGAAGGCATCAAGGAGGATGCCGAAAGCTTGGCAAAATGGATTACGACGCGATTCAACCCGGAAGACTGGTGAGTTTAAGATTAATTTTAGTAATAATATTAATCTTAGCTCTAGGTTTTATTGTACTAACCGCGGAAATCTTTCCGAACATATGTATATATATATATATATATATATATATATATTATATATATATATATATATATATATATATATACATATATATATATATATATATATATATATATATATATATATATATATATATATATGTATATATATATACATATATATATATATATATATATATATATATATATATATATATATATATATATATATATATATATAAAATAAGGATCACTCGAAGAGTGGCGGGTTTTTCGGTCAAAAATTGGAGAGAAAAAAGACAAAAATGATGGCTACTTCATCTATTTATTGAAAACGTTTCGCTATCCAATTTGATAGCATCATCCGTTCATCTAAAAAGAACAATATGAAAAACCTAACATCATCACTATTATCAATTATCAATTTATCATCACTAATATGCCTTACCCTATTCTTCATTGCAATCACTGTATTGAACTTTTAATGAGTAGGATGATTTAAAAAAAAGTTTAAATATCTTCCAGAGTGTGTTTGCTTTGGATACCAATCTATCAATATGTTGGTTTGATCAGTTCTTATTAATTTGGTGTCTAGAAATGATATCGAACAATTATTTTTAATCTCTAAATTAAATTGGATATGTTTGTTAAAGTTATTGAAAATGTTCAAGGTATTTTGAATTTGTGAAGTAGGAACAGAACATATAAGATAGTCTACAAATTTTTTAATGAAGGGTAAAGGGAAAGGTAATTGTGGAATAATGACATTCAGCAAATGGTCCAAAATGATAGTTGTTATTATGGGGCTAAGTGGACTACCCATAGGTGCTCCAAATATTTGTCGATAGAATTTATCAATAAAGCTAAAATAGGTGTTCTCAAAAACATAATTTAGACATGTTAAAAAACTATCCTTAGAAATTGTTGTATAATTTTGGATGAGATTCCATTTTGACTGTTTTATCTTACTGGAAAGATCTATTATTATGTTAGTAAATAACGATATGAGATATAACGAAATTAAAATATAATCTTTTGCATTAAAGTTTTGCCAAAACTTTAGTGCTTACTAAAAATCCATAAAGAAGGTATACTACTTAGACCTATTGTAAGCTCTATAAATTCGGCAACTTATGACTTATCCAAATTTTTTGCTAACGTTCTTAACGATGATTTTGACGAAGTGAACAACTATAATGCAAAGGATACATTTTCATTTGTTAATGATGTCAGAGAGTTGAAAGATATCAAAAAGTATTATCGATATAAAATATTCATCCGCTATGGTTTGTTGACCTGTATAGGGCGGAAATCATGGAGATAAACAAATGGTCTTCTTAAGGTTGAAACACGATATTTTTATCCCTTAATTGCCAGACTGAGGGACAAAATATCGACTTTCTCTAGAACTGAACAACAAATATCTACCACTGAATGCATTTTCATCATTCATTCAGCCCATACTCGTCCACTGCTGAACATAGGCCTCCCGTAGTTCACCCCACAAATTTCTGTCCTGAGCCGCCTGCATCCAATTTTGATGTGTCCGTTTCAGGTCATCCGTCCATCTTGTTGGTGGTCGTCCTCTATTTCTAAAGGCATCTTGTCTGGGTCTCCACTCAAGAATGCGTTTTGTCCATCTGCCGTCCTTCGTTCTCGCGACGTGCCCTGTCCAGTTCCATTTTAAGGTTGATATTCTTTTGATTGCGTCGGTTACTCCCGATCTACGGCGCAATTCTGTGTTGGGTATTCGGTCTCTCAGGGTTAATCCCAACATGGACCGTTCCATTGCCCTCTGTGTTGTTCGAATTTTGTTTGCGGACGTCTTAGTAAGTGTTAGCGTCTCCGCACCATAGGTTAGAACTGGCAGCACACATTGATCGAAGACTTTTCTCTTTAAGCAGATGGGAAGGGCTGATTGGAAAACATCTCTTAGCTTTCCATAAGCTGCCCATGTCAACCCTATTCTACGTAATAGTTCATTGGTCTGGTTATCTCTACTTAAGCGAATTTCGTGTCCCAGATATTTGTATGCTGATGTTTGTTCTATACTTGTTCCAGCTATGTTGATGTTCTCACTCAGAACAAGGTTTGTCATCACTTGTGTTTTTGAGTTATTGATCTTTAAACCCACTTGTGTAGAGGCATAGTAGAGTCTTTCGCACATTTCGATGGCATGATCTATGCGGTCTGTTATCAGGACTATATCGTCCGCGAACCTGAGGTGACTAAGCTGCTCTCCATTTATGTTTATGCCCTTTTCGTCTAGGTTTGCACGCTTACACATGTATTCCAATAATGTTGTAAACAGTTTTGGCGAAATGGTGTCGCCCTGGCGAACTCCGCGATGAATTTTGAACTTGTGTGTATCTTCATGAAGTCTGACGCATGCCGTGGCATTATCATAGATATTTTTGATGACAGTGGTGTAGCGGTGATATATTCGGCACTCTTTTAAAGCTTCTAGCATTTTCTGGTGGTTTACTGTGTCGAATGCTTTCTCATAATCCACAAAAATTAGGACGAGGGGTTTATTGTACTCTATACATTTTTCGATGAGGCTTTTAATAACTTGTAGATGGTCGTTTGTGCCAAAGCCTGACCTGAATCCTGCCTGTTCGGATGATTGATAAAAGTCCATTTTGTTCGAAAGTCTGTTTGTTATGACTTTTGTAAAAAGCTTGTATATGTGTGAGATGAGGCTGATTGGTCTATAGTTTACGAGATTTGTTAAATCTCCTTTCTTAAACATTAGAATGATCACTGCATTTTGCCATTGTGATGGTGTTGTTCCTCTTTCAAGGCATTCTGTGAAAAGTATGGAGAGCATTTGTATCAGTTTCTCGCCTCCTAATTTTATGGCTTCGGCAACGACCCCGTCGTCGCCAGGTGACTTGTTATTTTTCATTTGTAGGAGAGCTTTTTTGATTTCATCAACAGTAACATCTGGTATGTCTTCCGAGCCCTGGTTTAGAACCTTTGGTATGTTGTCAGTTGGAACATTTTCTTCTGTTTTGCTGTAGAGTTCGCTGTAAAATTGTCCGACAGTTTGTAGAATATCCTGTTTATCTGTTATTATTTCGCCCTTTGTGTTTTTCAGTTTGTAAATATTTTTCTTTCCTATTTGCTGTTTCCTTCTGAAGACTTTTAAACTTTTGTTCTCTTCTATGACTTTTGATATCTCTCTGGTGTTGTAGTCTCTTATATCTTTTCTGATGTTCTTAGTGATTTGTTTGTTTAGTTGTCTCATTTTTGTTAGATTGGTTCTGTATTTATCTGTTAGTTGTCTTCTTTCCTCTAATAGAGTTTTCGTGCTTAGACTTAGTTTTTCTTCGTCTTTTTGGTTTTTTGGGCAACATTTTTCTTGTGCTTGTTTCAGAGCTTTGACTATTTTCTGATTTAGTTGTTCGATGTTTATGTTTTCTGTTTCTTCGTTTTGTAATTTTTCTTCGACCGTACGTTCAAACAGTTTTGCATTTTCAGGTGGTACCCATCTTCTAACATTTGGTTTAGGAACAAGCTTCATTCTTTCTTTTTTAACGTTAAGCATTACTTTTGTTCTTATCATTCTATGGTCGCTGCCAGCAGAGAACTTGTTGAGTACTTCCACGTCTTGTATTATATATTTTTTATCTGTAATTATAAAGTCGATTTCGTTTTTGACGGCGCCATCAGGGCTTATCCAAGTCCATTTGTTTTGGGGTTTCTTTTTAAAGAAAGAGTTCATTTGAAACATGCATTGATGATGTAGAAAGTTTAAAAGCATGTCCCCTCTTGCGTTTCTTGCCCCGTATCCGTACTTTCCTAACGCGATCTCCGCTTGGTCTTGTTTGAATCCGAGTTTTGCGTTGAAGTCGCTAGGGATGGCGGTTTTTGACAAAACACCGGTTTTCGGTTATACCGGTTTTTTTTTGCTTACGATTTAACCTGGCGGTTATAACCGGCCAAAAAAACCGGTTTTTCCAAAAACCGGTTTTCGGTTTTTTTTTAATCCAATAGGTTACAAAGTAACACTAACAATGAACTTTAGCTTGCGATACTTCATTCGACTCGATTTCAATATGATCAAAATTAGTACTATCGAAAGATTCGAAAGAACATTACTACCTATATAAATACAACACGTTTATGCTTTAAATATGTGACGTAAGAACCAATAGTATCGCCTTCTATTATAAATATGCGGTTTAAATGTTAAAATGTTTACTAACGAAAGAATGAAAATGAAACTATTTAGAGTGATTATTGGTATGGCAATCGCAGAAACGCTGTTTAAAAGTTAAAGACCTTAAAAATAATTAGGTCGTATTATTCCAAACACCCATAATTCAAATTTTATGGGACCAAAGGCGGCTCACATCAGATCAGAATTTAATTTAGGCCATAATATTTACCATATATACATAAAATTTTAAGAGTGGGTGAATGATTTATGGTTACCAATACGTGCCGATACCCAATGATGTTAATTGTTATGGTTTAGGGATCAAATTACAATTACGAATTTCCGGGATTTCTCATTCTTTGTATTTAATTTTTAAACAATACAGGGAAGTATCAAATA